GAGTTTAGGTTTGATTCCAGTTTTGGTAAAGCTCTATCTTCAGGTCACCGTTCTTTCTTGAAGATGGCTCTCCAGATCTCTCAACCAAGAATCTGAAGTATTCATTTGAACCCCACTCCAGCAAGTACTGACTTCTAGTCCTTATTTCCTCAGCATAAAACTACTCTTCATATAAGAGTCTTTTTCCATAGTGTATTAAATCTTATTACTGCTGTAACAAATTACAAACCAGGTGGCTTAAAACAGCATAATATATTATTTTAGAGTTCTGGAGATCATAAATCCAAAATGGGTTTAATTGAACTAAAATCAAGGTGTCAGCAGGGCTCTATTCCTTCTGGAGGCTCTAGTGGAGAATCCATTCTCTTGCCTATTCCAGCTTTTAGAGGCTGCCTGCATTCCTACTCATAAACCTTTCCTCCATCTTCAAAACCAGCAGCATACTATCTTCAGGTATCTTTCTGACTCTGACCCACCTGTCTCCCTCTTTCTTTTGTAAGGACCTTGTGATTACATTGAGCCCAGCTGGATAATCCAGGATACTCTCCACATCCCAAGATCCTTAACTCAATCATATATGTAAATCCCTTTTTGCTATGTATTATAACATATTCCTAACTTCTGGGGTTTAGGACATAGACATACTTGGTGGGAGGCTATTATTTTGCCCACCACACTTAGTTTTTTAGGTTCCTGCATATGCAGTTTCAGAGTTCAGCACATTTTGAGGAGAAACCTACCATGTAATGGTAAGGCTGAGTTCTGCTCTCTTCTTTTTTACAGGGATCTTGGTCCTTCAAGTCTCCGTTTTTTTCTCCCTAGCCCTGCAAGACTGCCAGCAGTTCTGATGGCTTCCCCGCCCCGCCCCAGTAATTGGTCCTTTACCTGGATAAAACCCATATTCTTAGCTTCTAGTCATGCACCCAGAGTTGGCAAATGCCCTACTGGGGAGACCAGGACTAGGGGAGAACTCATGTGCATAGGATCAGTTTTCCTCCTAGCATTTCACTCCCCTTTGGGTGTTGACTCCCCTAGTCCTGTTTGCTTCAGCAGCTCTGATTCATTTTATACAATTTTTAAAATTGATCTGGGAGGGAGCATTGACCTGCTACAAACTGTTCCATCATATTCTTCTAAGTCATTTTGACAAAACTTTATAAGCATATATAAATATACATATTTAATAGTTCAGGTTTTTGATATGATCCAGGTATTTCAGATTTATCTTCTACATTACAGACCTGGAATTGGCCATTTCCCCAAGTAGCTCTGGTTCTTTTTGTTGGAAAATGGTGTAAAGAGTTCACGGTTTGAAGGCAACAGTTGTGTTTTGTGCATCTTTATTACTTGTACCTAGCACGTTGCTTAGATATGATACTCAACAAATATATGTTAAATAAATTTTTTTAATCTTCACCCAAAGATATGCATATTTATTGATTTTAGAGAGAGAAGAAGGGGGAGAGAAAGAGAGAGAGATATCGATGTGAAAGAGAAACATTGACTGGTTGCCTTCCATACACACCCCAACCAGGGATTGAGACTGCAGCCTAGATACTTGCCCTGACTGGGGATCAAACCCACACCCTTTAGGTGCATGGGACGAGGCTCTGATCAACTGAGCCACCTGGCCAAGGCTGTTAAATGCATGTTATATTTATGTCTTCTCTTGGTTCTGTTCAGCTTAAGTACCATTTCCTTCATGAAGACTTCTTTGGCTTTCTCCTTTCTAAAGTCTCTAATTTTCTGTAGCACTACTACAGATTTAATTCAAATACTGTGCAACTTGGACTTGGAAGCTTGGACTAGATAGATGCTATAGTCCCTTTTAAACCTAATAAGATATAAATTAGCACAACTCTACATTATTTTACTCTTTTGATGTGTGTTAATTTTTTTCACCTAATTAAAGGGAGAGTTGAGGATAGAGCCAGATTTTGCTCTTTCTGGACATATGGTAGTTTCTAAATAAATACTTGTTTTTTTAAGTATATTTTATTGATTATGCTATTACAGTTTTCCCAATTTTTCCCATCTTACCCCCTCTCCACCCTGCACCCCCAACCCTCCAGCATTCCCCCCTTAGTTCATGGCCATGGGTTGTACATGTAAGTTCTTTGAATTCTCTGTTTCCTATACCATTTTGACCTCTCCCTGTGAATTTTATGCCTACTAATTGTGCTTCTTCTTCCCTGTACCTTTCCCCCTAATCCTTCCCTCCCCTTCTCCACTGAACCCTCCATGCAATGCCCATTTCTCTGATTCTGTTCCTGTTCTAGTCATTTGCTTAGTTTTTGTTTTCATTGTTTTTCTTTGCTTTAGGTTCAGTTGTTGATAGTTGTGAGGTTGTTGTCATTTTACTGTTCATAGTTTTGATCTTCTTCAATTTCTTAGATAAGTCCCTTTAACATTTCATATAGTAAGGGCTTGGTGATGATGAACTCCTTGAACTTGACCTTGTCTGGGAAGCACTTCATCTGCCCTTCCATTCTAAATGAAAGCTTTGCTGGATAGAGTAATCTTGGATGTAGGCCCTTGCCTTTCATGACTTTGAATAATTCTTTCCAGTCCCTTCTTGCCTGTAAGGTTTCTTTTGAGAAATCACCTGATAGCCTTATGGCACCCCTTTGAAGGTAACTCTTTCCTTTTCTCTTGCTGCTTTTAAGATTGTCTCTGTCTTTAATCTTGGGTAACTCAATGATGATGTGCCTTAGTGTGTTCCTCTTTGGGTCCAACTTCTCTGGGATTCTCTGGGCTTCCTGGACTTCCTGAAAGTCTGTTTCCTTCACCAGATTGGGGAAGTTTTCCTTCATTATTTGTTCAAATAAGTTTTCAATTTCTTGCTGTTGTTCTTTTCCATCTGGCACCCCTATAATTCAGATATTGGAACTTTTAAAGTTGTCCCAGAGGTTCCTAAGCTTCTCTTTATTTTTTTTGAATTCTTGTTTCTTCATTCTGTTCTGGTTCAATGTTATTTCTTACTTCTGGTCCAAATCGTTGATTTGAATCCTGGTTTCCTTCCTGTTACTGTTGGTTCCCTGAATATTTTGCTTTGTTCCACTTCGGTTCTTTCATTTTGTGACCAAGTTCAATCAGTTCTGTGAGCATTTTGATTACCAGGGCTTTAAATTCTCCATCAGAGAGGTTGGCTGTCTCCTCATTACTTAGCTCTTTCTAGAGTTTTGCTCTGTTCTTTCATTTGGGCCCTCTTTCTTTGTCTCGGCACACCTGTTAAGTTGTGAGGGGGCGGGGCATTAGGTATTCACCAGGGCAGGGCAACTCTCCTTGCTATGCTGCAGAGCTGCCTGTGGGGGAGGGACCAGAGAGGGAACAATGCAGCTCACCTGCTCGGCTCTTGCCCCACTTTCCAACCAGTGTGTGAGACTGGGAGTTTCTCCCACCGCAGCAACCCAGCTGTAATCCACAGTCAGCTCTGAGTCTCAGTTTCCTGTTCAGCCAGCCCCGCCCCCACGGTCTGCCTCTTTACCTTGGGTCCTTTCAGCCCTCCCTGCCTGCAGAGTCCGTAGTAGTCCTGCTGCGGGTTCTCTCCATCTGCCCATCTTACTGGTCTGGTTGGTCCGGTTGACTGTTTATTTAATTCCTTGGTTGTTGGAGTTCTATGCAGTTTGATTTTCTGGCACTTCTGGTTGTTTATTGATTTTAGATTGGTTGTTATCCTCCTTTTGGTTGTGCAAGGAAGCAAAGGATTTCTACCTATGCCTCCATCTTGGCCAGACTTCTAAATAAATACTTATTGATTGATCAATTAAACAGATTGACTTTATTTCATATTGTTACTTTTGAAGCTTGGAAATAGGTAGAATTTTTTTTTATTTGATTTTTTTTGATTTGTAAAATATTAGGTTAAGGGGAGCTTGTTTATGTAAAACTTTTTTAAAAGTTTTCAAAAATGAACCAATGTAATATGGTATTTGTATATCCTTTGCTGCAGACTTGAAGCTAAATTGCCTAGGTTCAAAGTGAAGCTTTGTCAGTTACTATATGACCTTGGACAAGTTTATTTAATTTCTCGTACCCTCAGTTTTCATGTTTATTATGTGTATACGATAATAGTATCTACCTCATAGGATCAAGTGAGTTAATACACATTAAGCACTTATGCCAGAGGCTGGCACAAAGTAAGCACTTAGTGTTATTGATGAATCATACATATACATTTAATTAAAAATGTAAAACATTTGTAATTACTTTTTAAACTTAATATTATATTGTGAACATTTTTTATGTTCTTGAAGTTATTTTGTAAAAAATAATCCTTAATAGCTGCATAGAATTTCATTGCCAAGAAATACCCTAATTTCATCTACCAATCTAATACCAATGGAAATTTAAATTGTTTGCATTTTTAAATTGTTTTTAATTTTGACTGACATTTTTTCTTACCCCAAAACTGGAGAGGGGAATGGCCAAATTGATAATTTAAAGGTAGCATTACATCCTGTAGAGATAATACTGGATTTAGAATTAGTTAGAAGATTGAATTCTAGTTCACAGTTTGCCCCCTTTCTTTTCTAGGTTCAAGTAAACAATCTGTTGGATCCTTTCCCGACTTCTCTCCTCATATTATTGTGCAGGATTAAGTCCATCTTAGTCATAAGTCTTAGGTGTTATTTCCTTCAAAAGTCACACACAAATATCTAAGCCGAAGTAATCTATATAACAGAGCTTCCCACACAGAATTCCAAAGACTTCAAGGTAGTGACCCCTTTAGTCATTAGGCATCTAGTCAGAGTCTGAGGCTGCTAGACCCCTGGGCTGGTCACCTCCAATTGTAAGCAGCCTTATCTGTGACTCCAGTCCCTTCTGGTTTACCCAGTGTTCTCTATTGTAAGATATGCTTTTCTGTTTGCCAACCTGTGAAAAGGTTTCTGAGTACTGATCTAAAAGAATGTATCAAGGAAAACTTTTGCTGCTGGCAGATATATGTGGTTCAGATCTGTGTTGTATTGCTGATAGTTCTCCATTCTTTGACTTTTTAGTATGGCTGCTCGCTGTTTCTGGGATGCCGACACTGACAACTACACTCATGACATTTTCATGAATGTAAGTCTATTTGAGAACCCTTTTTTCCTTTCAAAGGATACAGGAGCATTTCAAATGAAATTACTTAATATTTATTGAGATACGAGGACTCGTTAGTCTTAGAGATTTATCTTAGACTCCGTCTAGATGAGATGACTTTACTGTTCCTTTTTGTGTTACTAAAGCAGAAACCTAGTGTGCTGCTTATAGACAAGGACACAGATGTGTACAGATGATATAACTCTTCACAAGTTTTAATTTGGGAATAGGTTATTGTTTAGTGCTAATAGAAACATAGCACTTTGCTAAGCTGCAAAGAAATTTGGGTGGCAGGGATTCCATGAGTAAAGTGATTTTTCTTCCAGTAACCAAATTAATTACTTTATCTTTTAAAAAAATCCTCACCCTAGGATATGTTTTTTTAAAAATTGATTTTAGAGAAAGAGGAAGGAACAGAGTAAGAGAGAGAGAGAGAAAGAGAGAAAAAGAGAGGGAGAGAGAGAGAGAAAAGGAGAGGGAGATAGAGAGAAATACATAAATCAATAAGTTAATAAATAAGTAAATATCAGAAACATCAATGTAAAAGAGAAACATTGATAGTTACCTGCCTGGGGGATTGAACCTGAAACCTAGGTATGTGCTCTCCCCAGGGATTGAACCCACAACCTTTTGGTGTATGGGACGATGCTACAACCAACTAAGCCATCCATCCAGGGCTAATTACTTTATCTTAAAGCTATTTCTCAAAACTAGGCAAAAAAAGAGGAGTTTTTTAAAAAAAGAAGTTTCATTTAAACATTAGTTAAGTGTTTGACATGAATGTTTTATAAATTTTAATAATGTTTTATACTTGATTCCTCTATCCAAATCTCCCAGGTTGTGAATTAGTAGAGTCAGAATTAAATATAGTAGTATAGAACAGAAACTGGACTGTGAATTAGAAGAGAGATTCCATTCCAGCTCTGTAACTTTGTAATTAATGACTTTAGGTAAGTGATTGGACCTTTGTCTGATTGTATCAGCAACATTAAGAAACTGTGCTACATTTTCCCAAAGACTAGCAGTGGCTGCCTAAGAATTATTTGAGGAACTTGTTTAAAATACAGTGATGGTGGGACCCTACTCAAGTAGATTCTAATCAAATAAGTTAGGGTTTGGATCAGTGAATCTGAATTTTTAAAAAATGTTCCCCACATGGTTATGCTTACTGCCTATGTAGTAGATCTTAAGGTACCTTTAAGCTGTAAAATTCTATGGTCTTATCAAAGTTTCATGTTATGCTCAACCACCTGAGGGATCAGGGACTGAATGGTGGGAAGTAGTATGTAAATCTTCATTTATCAGCTCTCTGGGGAAAGGTCAAGTTAAGGTTATAGTTTTTCCTGCTTTTTGGAAGTTAAAAATTTGTATTTCCATGAGTTCTTATACAATACAAATTTAACAGATAATTCTGAGCTCCTATTATGTGTCAATCTCTGTACTGGAGGTACTAGGAATAAAATGAGGAATAAGACAGGCATGGCTATTGCCTGTAGAGAGCTTATAAACAGTTGGGGCCAGACAATACTCAAATTAACAGATATGTAGTATAAAACTTTAGTTATCAATTATTATTTAAAGATGCCAGGATTGCGTTTTAGAACACAGGGTTAGTGGGTGAGGTGTCTAAAAATCATTTTTGAGAGCATGGTTTAGCTTGCTGAATTAGTGTACTGTATGTATCTTTAGTTCAGTTTGTTGAGTTGAGTGTTTAGGTGTTATTTTCAGAACTTAAAGTAATTGATTGGGAGAGGATCCCAGGAAGCACTAGTAGAGGATGAGGAAGTGAGAGAGGGGAGAGAAAGGCATATGCTCTTGAACTAATAATTGCTGTGGATAACCTGGCTCAATCCTGCTGGAGAACTCTGGGTGACACTACAGAACAGTGCCAATCAAAGTGGGGTCCACAGACTAGTGCCATGAACCATTCATTGCAGGTCCTTGATGAGTTAAGTACATAAATTGAGTATAAGGGTTTAGAAACTCTTACAGGAATTTGACAAAGTAATTTTATGTCCATTAAATCTAATAATAAAACATTTAGCTTGTGTTTGTATGTTTTTAATTTTGTTTTCCTATATATTCATTTTATTGTATTTTACAAAAGTATCAGTGCATGAAGGGTTGGAAATCAGAACAAAAACAAAAACAGGTCCCTCACATCAGATAGTACTGTTATAGAACACAGCTCACAGTTACCCCACCCAAGGAGCCAGAGAACTGGGCTAACCAAAGAATTTTGCTTTTGGTTAACAATAAGGTACTTGAGTTTAGATTTTCTCTCATCACCCTGGGACTGGAGGTGAGATCAGTAGGTCAGGAGCTAGTGAGGTAGGTGGAGTTGTATAAGAAGTACCTAAAAAGTGTTTTAAGACCTGGCTGGGTATCTCAATTGGTTAGAGCATCGTCCCAATACACCAAGGTTGGGCGTTTGATCTCTGGTCAGGGCACATACAAGAACCAACCAGTGAATACATAAATACGTGGAACAACAAATTGATGTTTCTCTCTCTCCCTCTCTCTCTTTCTCCTTCTCTTCTTCCCTCCTTCTTTCTCTCCCTTCCTCTTTCTCTCTAAACTCAATGAAAAAAATTTTTTAAGTATTTTAAAGCGTTTAACTGGGATCTGGAAAGCATTTTGATTCTGAGCTAAAAGATGGACAAATAAACTTTATAAATTAACAGAAAACAGCCAGATACTTTTTACCATTATGCAGAATTTATGAAAAAGTGCTGTTATTTTATTATGTTAGTTTTATTATTTTTATTATATACAATAGTTCTTTGGGGTGGGTAATACATTTACTCCAAGAAGCATTTCATATATTATTTCTTTGATAAATCAGGAAAAATTGGAATGCTTACTTTATGATTATGTATTATACAAAGTTCATTAGTTTGTAGTTTTTTTCTACATTTAGAAAATCTAACTCTTTATGCATCCTAACATTCTGGATTTGTGTGTGTGTTTTTTCTGTTATGTTTGTTTTGTAGGACAGTTTATTCTGTGTCGTGGCAGCATTTGGCTGTTTCTACTATTGAACCTTTGAACGCTGAGAAAAGATAGGACCGTGAAGAAATATGGACTTTTTTATATTGTTAAATATCTTGACAAAATAAACATAAGTTGGCAGTTTGGGCTTATAACTGAATCTATTGAGTTTTAGGGCTTATAGTTAGTGTTTTGATTTTTGTAATATGACCTAACTACATTTGGAAAGTAGAGAAAAGTTGGGAAAAATCCGTAATTCAATTGTTCTATATAAGCAACTATAAATATTTTTGTATATTGTCGTGTTTTTTTATTTGCAAGGTTTAAAAAAAGTATATATACAACTTTGTAACCTGATTTTTTACTTCTCATAATGTCATGTGCAGTTCTGTCATTTTATTTGCATTATGATTTCATAAGCATAATTTAATAGTTGCATTTATTCCATTAGGTTATACTATTGGTTATTTTTGCCATGTCCTTATTGACAGACTGGTATTTCTAATTTTTCACTATTACAAATAACACTGAGATGAATTTGTGCATAACGTTTTTTTTCTACATTTTGAGTTGTTCCCCTTACCTGTCACTCATTGTTTTTACTCAGCTCTTTCCACCCTACACCTTACACAACTTATTAACTTAAACATGCATCTGTTTTCTCCAGGGTTTTTCCAGTGCCAGAGTTTCTGATAAGTCTGAGAGTTTCTAAGCTGTATATGAAATTAGCCCTCCCTTAAGACTTTCTGAAATTATGTTGGTTACTATCCCAGTTCCTACTTTCTTTGTAGTGATCCTCTCCTTATAAGAGTCCCTAGTGTCTTCTCCAGCTAGCTGTTATTGGGAGCACCTTATTCTATGAGCTGACAAGGAGAAAATTCTGAGATGTTCTAAATTAAATTATAGCATCCAGAGGCTGAGAGAGACAGAACAATTAGTCTGTTAATAGCTGTGGACCAACTAACAAAAGACTGCTCATATTCATTAGTCTGTTAGAACTTCGAATTAATTTCCAGGTGGCTATTCCTGTGATTTTTCAAAAGGGACTATAGCCAGGTGCCTTCCAACCCCAGGAGCCTCCTTTTCTTGGGTGCATGAACTTTCTCTGGAACCATCATCCATCTGGATTGATGGAACCATCAATCCAGAGGAATGGACACTTCTTCCTGGTGGGCTCTGCACCTCTCCCAGAGCTGGTCGCACTTCACCTTCTCCCACCCTTTTTGCCTATAGCTAATATAAAGTTTTTCAAACAGTTCACATCATTCTTCCCAGTCCCACTCCCCAACTGATGAATAAGAAACTATTGTAAACTCCAGGATGATAGTTATGTAGTATGCTGCTGGGTTGGACTTCATGCCCCAAGACTGGTCTTCTTTGTGGCTAAATAAAACCTTTTTCAGAGGGGGTGGGGAGAGAGAGACTTTCAGCTGTTGTAGTTAAAGTTTTGTTTAAAAGAGCCTTGTTCAAATAACTTTGAAACTCAAAAGGGAAAGGATCACAATTTAAATATTTTTTTATCCCTGGATGCTCCTCAGCAGATACATAAGTGTACCTACCCTTTTTCTTCTTAACCACTTTCAAGCATGTAGATAAAAATAAAAATGAATTAATAAGAAAATACAAAGTTGTTTTACATACTTCTGCCATAACATTGGGTATCTACTTCTTACATTTACAGAATCTAAAGGAACCCCTCCAAGATTCATTCTAGCAAAAGAAAAAGTTTCTCTTCACCAGAAACCCTGCACTGTGGTTTCCTGTCAGTGGTCTCCCTCAAATCTGCTTGTTGACCCAAGAGAAGTCCAACCTGCAGAGAATTTTTATGAATTTATTTGAGCTGAATTACAGCATATGTTTGGGAGCAAGATCTCAAATGTTCCTCAGAATAACAGTTTGCTGCTGCTTTTATGCATTTTTAATTATGGAGGGACCCTAAGAAAGATCACATGAAAGGTAGGGGACACAAGCTGGGGTTGGCTTATAGAATAAACTCTTGAGGGTGGTCATCATTTAGAAGGAGGGGTCTGGAATGAGGCTTTTCGGATGTGGTTTAGTCTAGATGCACAGAAACAATGGACGGGACTTGCTACGGACAAGATAAGCCTTATACGTAAAAAGATGTGCCAGGGGCTGACTACCTACATAACCTGCTCAGTTAGGAATTTATGATGAGGTCACCCTGTGAGGTTCCTGTCCACAGAACCCTTTTTCTTCCACACTGCTCCCGCTCAACTAGCTCTGTTGAGTCCCAGGAATCGTTTCTTGGTGCCGCAACGATCGTCAGAAATAACAGGATTCACTATATTCATTACAGTTCAGGAAAGAGGGTTTGGAGCCAGCTACAGGCTTTTATAGGACTTGGTAGGCGGACCTAAATTCCGTTTACATCACCCAGGAGGGAAAAGTTGGCGCCGTGGTGAAGCAGTGGCAGACCGGGTAGTCTTCGGCGGAAGGCGTCACAGCCATTCGCATTGTGAATGCCCTGATACGAGCGTCTGCCACGCTGCACCTGCACCGGGGACAGAGTGGGAAGGATCAGGACAGGTCCGCCTCAGGAGGACGGAGCTGGGAGCCACCGGGTTAACGCAGTTTCTAGACCGACTGCGGGGTAGCACGCGTGACAGGCCACATCCGTATCTCATTACCAGGAGGCCACCGTGTACTCAAGTTCCGCACAGAGGCTGACCCTTAGCCAATTTATCTCCTGTCTGGAGTTTTATGCTCAGTCACCACGTCCCGGAGCTTCCGTGGAGGCGGAACTACTGTGTCAGGGGTCAGGGTTTGCCGAGAAAAGTGGTTGGATTGACAAGAGGGCGGGCGGTAGGCGGGATTTCCGGCCGCTGTTCCTTCAGCTGCCTTTTTCGGGCGTTTCCCCACAACCTTCTTAACTTCCCTCGTCCGTGACTGCGCCCGGGAGAAATCCGACGGGACAGGGATCGAGGGAACGTGAACTGCAGGTGGGGGCCCGGTGTGCGCATATTCTTGCGGCTCTGTTTGAGAGGAGAAATTGTGGGGTGGAGACCGCGAGGAGACTGAAAGAAGAGTGGGTCAGTGACAGCAGGGGAGCGTGAGGCAGGGACTGCGAGGCTACTGTGACCCAGGGGCAGTGACAGTGAGTGGACTGTGACCGAGATGTAGCTGCTTACGAGGGGTCTGCGAGTCAGGAGCAGTGAATGCAAAGGATTCTGACCTCGGAGAGAATGAAGCAGACGTTGCGAGGGAACTATGACCGAAGAAGTGTGAGGCAGTGACTACGTGAGGACTGTGACCAAGGGCCAATGATTCAGAGGAGACTGATCGATGGATAGTGACTGTGAGGATACTTTGAACCTAAGGGAACATGAAGCAGCGGCTGTGCAGCCTGACCAACGAGCACTAACTTGGAAGGGCTGACTTGAAGAAGAGTGTGGGACCAGTGACTGGAGATGGTACTGTAGGGCTGGGTTTGGGCACACGGTGTTATTGAGTGGTTGTGACTGGGCAGAGAAGGTCTTTAGTGGAAAGAGCACTGGTCTGAGACTTATCATAGAGACCTCTGTTTAAAAGTTTACGCACAGACTTCTTGTTGCTGGGAAACTTACTTCACACTGAACTACAGTTTCTTCTTCAGTTCATGGGAAGTTTGGACTAATGTTTCTTAAATTATGGGTTCCATCCTATTGCTGGGTTGTGAAATCCATTCAGTGGATACCACCTGAATTTTGAAAAAATAGAATAGAATACAAATTTTTAGTGTGTTCACATAGTAAGGGTAAGTATTGTTTCATGAAACTTGTTTCAGTTATGTGTATATGAGATTGTCATGTAAAATGGATTTCATATAAAAATATGTGAAATGCAGTAAAAATGTTTGAAAACATTGGACCAGATTATTTTTGAGTTTTCTTTCAGGTCTGAAATGTCATGATTTTATGGCTATTTGTAAGTACAAAGAAACAAGTGGGAAGATTGGCTGTATTCTTGAGGCACAGGCTTTAAAAGAGAGACTTAACTGGAGAAGCCTCCCCAAATATAATTGAGGTGACTAGTTGTGACAGAGGGTTGAAACTGAGGATCTCAGCTGGGAGAACCAGAACTTATATATTAAAATAGGGACAGTGATATTTATAGAGGCAGTGAGGGTATAGGGGTTTATAACAGGAAAAACTGCTAGGAATAGACATTGATGGTGGGGGAAACTTTGGGGCAGATAGGAATAGGCTTAGGAAGGGAATAGCAGATAGAAATAAACATTCTGCCAAGAATGAAATGGGTGTAGGGAGGTATAACCTTCAACGTCTTTTTCAACCTTGATATTTAGTGATTCTGCAAGTACGGAGCATTGCTAATATAAAGATATTAGTTGAGAGTAGAATTTGGTGCAGTAATCTGTGGCAAACACATGATGATCATCATGGAGAAGAAAGGATGACTCTGGGAAGGTCAAGAGTAGTGACTAGAATACTACATGGGGGAGGCTTTAATGTATTTAGCCATTTAGTTCAGTGATTTATGCACTGGAGGCCAAGACTGGCATACTGGGAATGAAGCTATGCTGTGGGAGATTCAGATTATATTTTAGATGCTGGTTTTATTTCCTACTGATTCCCTTTCGTGAGGGCTCTGTGTGATTCAGGTGAAGTGAACTAAAGTTACATTACCACCTCCTCTCTTACAGCCCTTTGCAGAAGGTGCTACTGATCGTGCCACCCAATTTTTAAAAAATATGTAATAGAAGAGAAGTTTGAGGTAATTGTAACTCACCAGACACTACATTTATCTGATAACCTAGTAGTCACTCCCTACCTCCTATACACAAATACACTTTGTGATAGGGGAAGAGTTCAGAAAGATTCTTGAATGGAAGTGAGTTGGGAATGGTGGGCAATAGCCTTTGTTTAGCTAAAAAAAAAAAAAAAAAAATGTCTAGTTAAACCTTTTCCTAGAACATTAGGTGTTTACTTGGCTTACATTATGCATAACTAAAAGGAACTATTGAAGAATTTCTTTCTAGCACAGAATGTATGCTTCAAAGTAAATGGCTATAGAAGAAAAGACATTTAGGCTTCACAAGTGCAGCACTGCCTCTGGGGTCTTTTGTGTTTCCTGAATGAAATGACTCTTTTTGACCTAGCCTGCTTTGCAAATTCCCTTTGAAAACCATATAATGGCCTGATTGGTAAAGAATTAACTTTACTTCTTTTTCAGCCTATGATTTCTCCCTCCATAAACAGGTGAGGATTTTTTGTTTTTTTGTTTTTAATTTGAGCTGTCCTTTTTGGATATCTGATCCCTTGAGGCTAATGATCTAGTCAGATGGAGCTTTGGATTTAGAAGTCCCAGTTTGCTTTTGTCTGACAACATTGTCTCACTCTGTGACTGTGGGAAGAATTATTGTTTTTGTTTTAGATATTCTGACTGTGGCAGATGTAATCATTCTTTTGGTTAAACAGCCTTTAATAATCTGAAATATATGCATACTCACCAAATGCTGTATACAAGCTCGAGTTTGTAAACCACATGACCCCTATTCATGATTCCCCTGTGGAGATGTCTAACCTCTAGGTTGACATGATTCTCCTGGGTAGTTGAGTAACTTCTTCATCTTATAAACACTGAGGAGAATTGGTTTATGAACGTCATAGAAAAAGCAAGTGTAATAATTTGTTATTGTTATGCACAACTCTGATCTTAACTCAGATCATCTGACTTTTCTACTAATAGAGATAATCCCCTTTCTGAATCAAATAGAACGTGGTCCCTCTCACATCAACATCTGTTACCCTAAAACATATTGGCAAGAATAAAGTTTTCCAGAAGTCATGATTCTGGAGGGAATTTTTTCAGTTAGAGAGACCCTAAAGTCAGAGTACTTCCTAATCATTAGACTCAGAGTTCTGTTTTGCTCAAGATTGTGGCTGCTTTTACATTTGTTATGTTATCACCACGTCAGTCATGTTAGAAAAACGATGTGATTTAGGACTGAGAGAGTGAGGAAGTCAGGGCTTTAGGCTCAGCTCTCCTGCTCATTTGCTCAAAGGATGACTTCCAGCATCTTCTCTTTCCTAAGCTTAAACCTTTGTTTCTAGTTGTAAACTTCTCTTTCACAATATTCCTGTCCAGTGGGTACCTGGACATGTGTTAGAAGTTTGATTTATTTTGTTAATTGCTTTATAAATGTTTGTGGCAAAATTTAAATCCTCACTCCCTTCTTCTATAATTCAATCAGTAAATTTAGGGAATACACATTTTTATATACTCTATTTTGCAGTATGTGCCAAAGTACTATTCCAGAAGAAAAAAAGAAACCAGAATGTCTAATATATATTTGGTACTGTGTTAGATTAGTTTATATACATTATCAATATAAATAATTGAATTGACTATATTTTGCTGTTTGCAAACCAGATTAGTATGTAGATATATAGTGGTCTTGCCTTTTCTCTCTCTTTTTTTGGTAGCTCTCTAGTTGAAAGCTGAAAATCATGTTAGTTTGACGCTTTCTGTGTTCCAGTGGAACCCGTGGGTCTGCTAGGCTGTTATGTCACATTCACAACTATTTGTAAACCAGTTTTGAAGCAAGATCTGCTAAAAATAGTGACATTTGTTTGTTTCTCTATGCTAGAGAAGAAAACAAGTGTATGACACTTAACAGAAAACAGGTAGTTTTTTTTTAAATCTACAGAACATTACCTCAGATGTGATTATATTTGTTTATTTTTTGGCCCTAGGGCAAAGTCTTAATCTCCTGTAGCATGAACTCCTTTGGCTGTATGGTGAAATCTTGTGGACTCCCTTTTTGAAATAATATTTTTATATGCAAAAATTAAAATATGTAGAATTATAAAGGAAACAAATTATGTTGAAATATAGTTATCAAAATATTTTAAATGTGTGATATAGCACTTATGTGCTTTTTATTAATGTAGTGAATAATGTTTACTATCAGTGGGACTTATAACTAAAATAATTTTTATTAGAAAAGTGTTTTTATCTTCACTTGAGGACATCTTTTCATTGCTTTTAGAGAGAGAGGAAGGGGGAGAGAGAGAAACATTGATTGGTTGCCCCCAGTGGAGGATCAAACCTGCAACCTGGGCATGTGCCCTGAACAAGAATCAAACCTGTGACTTTTCAGTCATGGGATGATGCTCCAACCATCTGAGCCACACCAGCCAGGGCACTGATGCGGATCCTGGCCGGCAGGGTCCCTGTGTTGTGGCTGCAGTGAACAAATTCACACAGACTACAGAAGTCCTGTGAAGAAAAAGGGACAGCATGGCCACTCTCTGAGTGAGAGGTGACCTTGGAAGAAATCCCTTTTTCTCTGAAATCCAACACACCCTATGACCTTATCGAAAAACACTTGGTGTTGTCTGCCCTTAGCTAAGCTGACGTGCACTCCAACCAAGTTGGTGTTTTGGCCACAACTGCAGCTTGTAGCCCTGGGTCCCTGTTCCTGGGTGCCAGATGATGTGGACCCCCGTGGTCCATGTGTTGTGGCTGCAATGAACAAATTCACATGGATGACAGAAGTCCTGTGGAGAAAAAGGGATGGCATGACCGCTCTCTAAATGAGAGAGAGGGCCCTGACCCCAGCATGGACAAGTTTTTATTGCTTTTCTGGGCATATTACATCAGGATGGTCCTCATTTACTATGCACAGGTTCCGTTTAGGTGGTTACCTTTTACAAAAAACAAAGGAGAAGATGTTGCTAATTACATTAGAGAAGAAGGATATTTGCAAATGGAAAGGGAAAAGTGGTTGAACTGTTACACTTATCCTTGGAAGGTTTAGCATAGTTTTTAGGAAGTTACTTTAAAGATATGCAATAAACATTTGTTGCCTCAGTTCAGGTGAGGGAGTTTTAGCAAAAGCAATCCTCAAAGCAGCCTAGGTACAATGCTGGACTGACTACCCATGGGAGAACCTATCCGTAGGCGTGGATCCTGTGTGCCGGACCTTGCTCCCCACTTGCCTTTCTGAGTGGGGGCTGGGCTACATTTCCCACGCCATGCGGAATTGTCCCCTATAGGGCACTACAGTAATTTTTAAATGATCATGTATTTAAATAAGATATTTGTAACAAGTATAATAATATGGAAATATCTATGATTTCTATTGGTTATAAAGTCTATTATTCTACTGAGTCTACTGTTACCGTTGTGGCTTCTGTTCCACAACCGTAGAACAGAAGGAAAGGTGAATTTGCCAGAGGTAAGTAAAAATAAAGATATAATTTTGGAGGGTCCAAATCCCAGGCTCCCTGAATTTATCATAGACTTTGCTTCAGAGACATAAATTCCATAACCCATTCTACACAGAGCACAGTCTAAACACAGGGCTTACTCACTGAATCTTCTAGTGCAATAGAACAGTGGCAGAGCAAAATCATTCAACTGTAGCAATTATTACAAGTGTCCTTTGTGATTTTTAGGATAATCTCCTTCCTGAAATATCCTACTATGTGGCCCGGACCAAGTATAAGCTTTATTTAGTTCAGAGCTAACCCAGGGTCTGGCACAGAATAAGTGCCCACTCAATGTTTGTTGAATGAGGGTGGTTCTGAAGAAATAAGAAAAGAGATCAAGTTCAAAGCTAAGCTTTTAAATGTGGCAACTTACTGGCCTCAGATGTTGAAGAATAACATTGTGCTCTGCTTTAAAAGTAATCTGTCAGTGCAGGTCATGCTTGAAATTTACCTTTACATTTAGAATTTCCCAAATCAGGCATTCTTTTGACTTATGCTGTATAGTATGGTGATATATACAGGTTAGTGACGTTAATTAAAGTAATCCTGTATCAGAAAAATATGGTACAGTTTCTTGAAATAATCTTATTCCTAGTACTGCTCTCCTTTTTGGAACTGTTTGCATAATCTAGGTAGAATTTGCTACCAAATTATTGATAAATCTGTCCTGTCTTCATCTAGAAGAGGAGTTGGCAAACTTACTCAGTAAAGGGGCAGGTCGGAACTGTTAGGCTTTGGAGATTATAAGGTTTCTGTGGCAACCACTTAACTCTGCAGTTTTAACACAAAAGCAACCATAGACAATGTATCGATGAATGAGTATGGTTGTGTTTTTAATAAAACTTTAGTTACAAAATCAGACAATGAGATATTTTTGGCCTGTGAGCTGTAGTTTGCTGACCCCTCTGACCCCTGATCTAGGATATATGATGGTCCCTGAGTCCAGGACCTCCTCCCCAGCATGGGTTAGACATATTCTCCCTCAAGCGTCAACAGCATTTACACAAGGGGTAATGTGACTGCAGTGTCATCTGTGGAAAGGCTGAGCATATCCATTTATATATCAGATGACATGATTAATGCCAAGAGTATTAGATGCACTTTAACTTACAAGTTCATAGAACTTGCCTCTTAGAGCACCACTTTATTAAGCTTTACAATGGTAGAAGTTGGTAAAAATCCCAAATATGAAGTATACTTTCTCTGCATTGGAACTGAGCATTGGTATTACCAGAAAATTACTGAGCATAGGGTTTTATTGAGGAAGATAATGTAGGCCCAGAGATGGAGAAGCAGGAATACAACACAAAGGACAAATTTACGTCTCTTCTTTTTGCAGATAATTCTCTGTAGTACTTAGTCAAATTTGAATTAGATTTTTGAAATTTGAAGAGTATATGTAATTACAACTTGCTACCATTTAGGTGGTTACATAGTTTAGAAGCGGAGTCCACCTCCTTTATCACCCTGGGGTCTTTACTAGATCTACTCATAATAAGGGGATAGAATGGAGGGGATTGGGCAGAGTCCCAAAAAATGCACTGGTAGAAGACTTTCATCTTCAAAACACAAGCATGTGCATGCTAGTGCCCAGATTTTATCTCCTTCAGGACATTCATATTGAGAAAACACTTGACTGGATTTATCTTCAGTATCTTCTCACCACAACTCCTCCCTGCTCACACCTGTTTCCACTTATTCTCTACTTTCTTAGCAGCAAAGTTGGTACTTCCAAGCAGGCATCTATTGGAACACTGAAGAATAAAGCAAGCAGTGTGTCCTGGGAGGTGAGTCAGCAGAAATGGAGCCAGATTTTGTAAGTGAAAATAGGCACAATACTGCATTCTGTATCTTGAAAGCAATTAGAGACACTAATGCACTTAGTAGGCAGGGTGGTAGTTGTCAGTGGTGGTGTGGGCAGTTATGTCCATGTTTAGAATATGTGCTTGAATGGAGAGTTGGAATGACTAAGATAAAGTGACTTACTAGGGACTGAATAGGTAGCAGTGTTAGAAAGATCAGGCCTTACAAATGCTATATTTTTGCTGCTATTTCCCTTTGTCTTTTTTTAGTAAAGCTTCTTTTAACAAACTTTTTTGGAGGATAAACTGCTAAGGAAACAGGAAGTTTGGTCCACCCTAATGGACTCATGAAGAAGGCTTTGTATTCTATAACTACTCTCATTCTGACTCATCTCAGTTTAATCAGTGTGGGTGCTATGGCTGGAAGCCGGGATACACTTGTTAAGTATTAGGCAACACCCTGTTCCCCATCCCCATTTTGATTTTTGTACTGTATTGGCTTTGAGGAGGTGCCATTATTTCCCAGCCTCATTGCCTGCTGGACAAATTGATACTAAGCCAGACTGTATGTGTATGTATTTTTTTCCCCCTCTTAGAGGTAGCTATTTAAAACCATCTCCATTTTCAGGACCATCACTGTACCTTTATTTGAATGGTGTTGGTTAGTTACAAAGGTGCAGTTATCATAAACAGAATTTGGGAATTATGATCCTTGTTGGAGGTATTCAGTAGTTACTGGGCAATTGTGGAAGTTGTAAAGGCAGTGTAGTTTTAGGTATGCTAAGTTTCAGTGTAATGAACTAAAAAGCCAACATGTGTTTACTATCCTCAGTGTGTCCTCATCCTCCCACTACCTTTTCTCAGTAGTGAAGTTGATGTGCCCCAGCAGGCACATACTGGAACTTTAGGGAAACTGGGGAGAATTTTTTCCATCATTTTGGGCACTAATAAATTATTCTATATGCTTTTTTGGGCCTAAATTAGTGGATGTGAGGGAACCTGGGGATGGTCTAAGAGAGCCAGTGAAAAATGAAAAACCTTGAGAGATCTATAAAATAAAAGTTTAAAAATTAGTAGTAGTTCCAGAGGAAAGGTGTGAGGATTAATCTCTATAATTTCTAAAATCTTATGGAATGTCTGTGACCTGGGTGTTTTCCGTTTCCTAAGAAAGTAGATAAAATATAGAAGTGTTGTACATTAAAAACCAAAAAGTATCAGTCGTATTTCTTCTAAATCAGAGGCTCTTAAGACTTTAATTTGTTTAATGTGTAATGGTCAGTTGAAAGTAAAATGTAAAGTTTAATGTAAGACACAAAGGTCATCTTTAGAAAACAACTGTGTGTAAGCAGATAAGGAAAAATACTTTTAAGAGGATGAGAACTTTGTTGCACCATCTTTCATACACTTATAAATTGACAAGTACTTAACCTCTTACCATCAAAACAAAACAGTAATGTACGTAGTGTTTTTCAAAATTTCAAAGCAATCTTCTATACTTACTATATTTACTCAAATGGTTGTTGAGTGCTTACTGTGTTCCAAGGATCATTGCTACATATCAGGTGCATTAATTATGATTTTTGTGTTCCAGGTGATAAGAAACCCAACTTAACTGAATTAAGCAAAAAAGAGGAATGTATTTGGTTGGGACAGTTAGTTCAGGGTCTGCCTTCTCTCATCAGCTTTGCTTTCTCTCTGTTGACTATTTTGGAAAAGGCTCTCCTCCTTGGCCACTAGATTGTCATGGGATTGTTCCTAGACCCATGTCTTCAGGTTCAGATCTACAAAGAAAGATGCGATAATCTTTGTCCAAGCATTCCCATCTGGTGAGTGCAGATACTCACTCTGATTGGACTAAGTCACATCACCTATCACTGCCTTACCCTCCCCTCTTTTCCCTGCTTTCTTTCCTACTCTGGCCCAAACCAAAACAAGCTCGTGGAGGTCCTTAGTAGTCTGCCACCAATGTGCCCGGTAGGAAGGGAGCTTTAGTCTTTATGAAAGATGAAATTAAATTCCTGCTTGGCACAGTGTAGCACATGACCAGAGTTCAAGAAGTAGTTTTGATTAAATTCATTTATGACCATTTTATTACCGGGCAGTATAATGTTGTCATTAAATAGACAGACCCCAGAGCCAGAATGTCTGTGTTCAAATCTTGTTTTTTCTCTGTCTTAGGTGTATGGCCTTAGGCAAGTAATTTAACCTAGTTGTTTCTCAATTTCCTCATTAGCAAAACAATCGATAATAGTATTAACTACCTCATTGAGTTGTTGTGGGGATTGTTATTTAATATATATATATATATATATGCTAAAGGTTTATCACTTCCTGGCACATAGGAAGTACTCTATAAGTATTAGCTATAATTATTATCATTGCTTATCATAATAATCTCTGGGACTGTAATAGAGAAATGTGGATCTTGGGATGGTACAGTAAAACAAGTTTACATTGGATTGAATACCCTAACTCATTAAGAATTCTAAATATATTCTCTATTCTGTTTTCTAAAGACACACTTTACTGTGTTTTACATTGTGCTAACCTAAAGAGTGTTAGGGATGGATCTCAATGAGCAAAGAGGGTTCTAGTGGAATGTCACGTTGGCATATGGTGATATATCTAACCTGATCAGTATTTTCACTAGTGAGTTGGATGAAGACATAAAAACTATGCTTTTCAAGTTTATAGATTATGTACAATTGTGATAAATAGTTAATATGATAGATGGTGGTCAAGATTTGAAAAAAATAAAATTTGTATAAACAAAAAGTTCAACTAAGTTAGACTTTAATAGGATTATGACCAACAAAATGAATAAATATATTTCTATACAATCTCTGCTTGAATATCCTGGTGTGCCAAAATGAAGTGTTTCCTGAGATCACCCAGTCTTTTTTCAGATAATGCTTATTCCTAAAAAAGTTTTTCTTATGTTTAGTTAAAATTTGTGTTTAGTTAAAACTTGTGTGTCTGTATTTTTCAACCACCAATCCATGCTCTATTGTCTGGACTTTCACAGAGTAGTGTCCCCCTATTTAGCATGATAGGCTCTCGAATATTTGGAGAGAATTACCAGGTACCTTCTGTATTATATCATATGTAATACTATAGTAGTAAGGGTATGTAGTCTGCAGATAGGCTGACTGAATTTGATTTTTCTTTTAAATTTGATTTCTAGCTTCACTGCTTACTAGCTGTGTAATCTCATCTTCTGTGCCTCAGTTTTCTCATCTGTAAAATAGTAATAATATATCTGTATCAAAGAGTTGTGAATATTAAGAGTTTTAATATTCTCATTAAATAATTTTGTTTAGTTTATTGATTTTAGGGAGGGAGAAAGAGAGTGAGAGAGAGAAACAATGATTTGTTGTTCCACTTATTTATGCATTCATTGGTTGATACTTGTATGTGCCCTAACCAGGGATTGAACCCATAATCTTGGCGTATTGGGATGATACTCTAACCAACTGAGCTATCTGGCCAGGGCTTTTAATATTTTTAAGGTGTTTACACATATAGGTATTATATAAGTGCTCGTTGTTAGGAGGAATAGTATAATGTTTCTTCTTTGTAGCTTGACATCAGACTCTAGAAGAGTTCTTGCTACACTAGTCATTTTTGAATGGGATTGGAGTGAAAAATAGGGGTGATATAACATACTTCATATTTTACCATACTTTTATATTAAGAGTTTACTTTTTACAATAATAATATTCATGAGGGGAAACTTGGCAAAACCTTTTTGGTATAGGGGATGCACGAATACTACAAGGCAGATAATTACTACTACTAAATAATAATAGCTAATATTTACAAGCACTTACTGTGCGCTAGGGACTGAACTACGGCTTTACATAGCCCATGGATTATCCCATTTAAACCTCATTTGTTAGATGATGCAACCTAGGATTGGAAAGAGTAAGGAATTTGTCCAAGTTTTCATGGCCAGTAAGTGGTAGAGATGAGATTCATACTTTTAATCTGATTTTTAATCACTACACTGTGCTGATGGTGATGTTAAAGATTTTTACATTTCTTAGAATGGAGCATGGATACAAAATATTGATTAATATTGCTATAAATATTTGATTAGAGGTGTTTATATAAGACAGATGAGAGATTTTGTTGAATGTATGTACTCAACTGAAATACAGGTAAAATGTATTAGTATTACTATTATTTACTAAAGGCCTTTGTAACATGTTAATATTATGGTTGCCTTATGGTTTTTTTTTGTTTGCGAATTTTACTTTAGCCTTAAGTAACTAGTCAGACAACTCCTTTCTCTTGCCTCAAGTCCCCATTGTGACATTTTATATTTTCTGTATTATTATTTTTAACCTGGTGGAATAGATCCAGTGTCACAAGATCTAGCATCCCCAGATATTAATTTGGCTTTCAAATATTTTTAAAACCATGCTGGCAGCATTTTAAATGTGAGAAGGAGTGCCTTTGCTTTTCTACTATAATGATATTCACCATGTGTTTGGCTGGTTAAGTTGAATCATATGACAAGATGGTTCAGTACTTTAGGAAGCAAGCAGTTACAAAATAAAGCAAATTTTTATTACCAGTATTTATATTTTACCACAATATAAAACATAAAATAAACAAGAAAGCAAAGCAAAACCTGAGTGGGGAAAAAAGATGAATTACAAAGTGTCATGAAGAAACTTGAGAGTGATAGATATGTTCATTATCTTAATTTTGATGATTTAATGGATGTATAGGTATGTTAAAACTCATTAAATCATATACTTTACATATGTACAGTTTATCATTTGAGAATTATACTTCAGTAAAGCTGTACAAATATAATATATATTACCCCTTCCCCCGACACAGAGAGTGAAGACGTCTGGGAAATTCCTGTAAACATGACTTTGGATGTGTAAACATTAAGGAATTTAAATTCCTTGCAGTTATGGAAAATAACTGATGAAAATATGAAATGGCATTTACTTGATTTCTTATGAACCCTTAAAATTTTTGTATCATGTATGAAAGTAAAAGTACCTTTAAAATACTACCTATTTGTAATGTCAGAAGAGGGAGGAGCAGATATTTAAAAATTCTTTATTACTTAAGTTGAAAAGTTACCAGGAAACCTTAGCTAACCTATCCTGTAGGAAAGATCTAAAAATCTGTGTATGTGACAAATCAAACAGCCTCTGAACCAGTAGCCAGGTAAGTTCTATCTGATTGGTGCTGGGGCCTTGTTTACCCTTAAGTAACTCTGACTTTTTTTTATTCCACTGCTCAGTTAGGCTGGCCTGACTTAAATGTGAAAAAACACAGAGGGGCCTGGCTGGATAGCTAAGTTGGTTAGAGCATGGTCCTGCCAAGGTTACGGATTCGATCCCCAGTCAGGGCACATACAAGAATCAACTGATGAATGCATTAAGTGGAACAATGAATTCATGGTGTTTCTCTTTCTCTCTCTCCCTCTCTCTCAAATCAGTACATAAAATTAAAACAAAACACAAGGAACCCATGCTGTAGAAAGAATGTTCTTGATATAAAGAAACAACAGTAATGAGACAGCTTCTTTTTAAAAATCTTAGGTTTCTGGAAGACAGCACAATATTATTATTAGTAAGGACTTAGGAATTAGGCAAGCCTGAATTTAAATCCTGGCTGTTCTGCTTACTAGCTGTGTGATCTTAAATGGGTTGCTTAACTCCCCTGATCCTTAGTTTTCTCATTTGTAAATTGAGGCTAATAATACCTGTATATATGTGTACTAATTGCCTAGTACAGTACCTGGAACATAGTAACTATTCAAAAAAGATAGCTATTATTATGACTGTTGTTATTAACTTACTTCCTTGTAAGACATTTAGATTACTAGACATACTTTTTGGAATATATGTATCATGTATTCTGAATGAAAATCAGGAAGGAGAGGAAATCAGTTTCTAGAGACCCCAAAGACAATGTAGTGCCTATCTGTGTAGAAACTGTTACAGAGCATTGTAAAAATTAAATTTTTTATTTAAAAAAAGTAAAGCCTATAGAAAAGTTGAAAGGATATCAAAATGAACTCCCTTATGCCCCACCTAGATTCATACATTGATAATGTGTGCCGTATTTGCTTCACATTTCTTATATGTAATATAACATACACTTTTTCCTTTTTATTTTTTTCTGATGGTAAATTGCAGAGATCATAACCCTTAATCCCTAGATATTTCAGCATTTATCTTCTAAAAATAAGGACAGCCCTGATTGGTGTGGCTTGGTGGACTGAGCACCAGCCTGTTAACCAAAAGGTTGCTGGTTTGATTCCTGGTTAGGGCACATGCCTTATGGGCTGGGTCTCCAGTTGGGGGCATGCGAGGGAAACCAATCCATATATCTCTCGCACATCAATGTTTTGCTCCCTGTCTTTCTCCCTTTCTTCCCTTGTCTCTAAGAAATAAAAATTTTTAAAAACATGGACAGTTTTTTTATATAACATGCTATAAAATCAAATCTGTGAAGTTTAATATTGATGCCTAATATTACCTGATACATAGTTTATATTCAAATTTTATTGGTTGTCCTAATAATTATTCTTTTTAACAATTTTTCCTCCAATCTAGAATTTTGTATTACATTTAGTTTTCATTTCTTTGGTTTCTTAACATACAGCAGCCCCTCAGCCTTTTGTTGTTTTTTATGATTGACGTTTTTTCAAGAATAGAGGCTTGTTTTGTAGACAGTCCTTTAATTAAGGTCTGCCTGCTTATTCCTCATATACCCATACAGATTATGCATTTTTGGCAGATAATGTATCCTCAGTGCTTCACATAAAGAGGCATTATTGGTGATATTAATTAACTTTATCACTTAGCTGAGAGATTTTTTCACTATAAAGGTAATGCTTTCCCTTTGTAATTAGCAAGTAATCTATGGGGAGATACTTTGAAACTGTATAAATATCCTGTTCCTCAACAAACTTTCCCAGTGGTTTTAGAATTTTAAAGAACTTTTTTTACATAAACATGTGGTTTCGTTACCTTGATTGAAGACTTCTTTTTAAAAAAATTTTATTTATTTATTTATTTTTAGAGAGGGAAGGGAGGGAGATAGAGAGAGAGAGAGAAACATCAATGTGAAGTTGCTGGGGGTCATGGCCTGCAACCCAGGTATGTACCCTGACTGGGAATTGAACCTGCAACACTTTGGTTCTCAGCCTGCGCTCAATCCACTGAGCTACGCCAGCCAGGGCTGATTGAAGACTTCTTGAGAAAATAGTTTTTACTTTAAAAATTGTTATAGTACCTTGTACACTGTTTTTTTAAAGTTTTTTTTTTTAAGATTTTCTTTATTTTTAGAGAGAGGGAAAGGGAGAAGTAGAGAAACATCAATGTGTGGTTGCCTCTGGCATGCCCCCAAGTGTGGACCTGGCCCATAACCCAGGCATGTGCCCTGACTGGGAATCAAACCGGCAACCTTTCAGTTTGCAGGCTGGCACTCAGTCCACTGAGCCATATCAGCCAGGGCACTGTAAGAACTATTAATTACCTGATCTTGAGCTGTCCATCACCAGATTGCTGATAATATTTCTCCAATGGATTTTGTCTGCTTATCCTGAGAAGAACTTAGTGGATACTTAGAGAAGTCTTGTCATATGCAAGTGAGAAATGCTCTCTAAATGGACCAATTAGGCATTCTTCGCAGGCCTCTCAGACAGTGACATAGGAATAGTAATACAGACCTGGATATTTTGAAATAATAATAATAATGAAGAAGATGGAGAAAAGCTCTGATCATCATCACTGGGAAAGCTTGTAAAAGTATAGTATCCTTCTTCCATTTTAATTCGCATTTGTGATGAAAGGGAGTTTCTGGGTGGTGTTCATCTTTCACTTTAGACTCACATTTTTTTTTCTTTGTCAGCATTAGGGTGTCACCTTCAGTCTCTAAGAATTGGGTCAGGTTTCTTATAGATCTTGTCACATTGCCACTGGAATTTAACTGGAGGGAAGAAAGTAAGGCTGAATGTTTTTGTTTAGATGAGAAGGGCTTACTAGAGTCAGTGAGGCAGAGTAGAATGTCCTCATTCTGTCTGGCAGTTGTTGTTTCCCACCTCTGCCCTGAAGGTCTTTCTTCTGTCTTTCCACTGTACCGTATCTTGGGCAGAGATAGCAGCTGATCACTAAAATTCCTCTGTCCCCGATTTCTGGCTCATGCCTAAAATTTCATCAATACCAAAAAATTAAGTTGCTTGTATACATTGTTACTCAAGAAAAATGCAGATATCCTTGCTGGGGATTGGAGAGGTAGCACAAGCCAACATCTCAGCATGAAATATCAAACATTTGGACCGTTTATATGATAGTTAGTTGATAAAAGCTCTCTGCTAAATGAGTCAGTGATGAGTAAGATTTTTTCCTGGGGGAAGGAGAAGCCTGGGGTGGGGTTTTAATAGTTGGGGACTCTGAACATTATGTAAGGGGCTTAAGACTTGGAAAGCGTAAGGGGAACTGTGTGTTGAAGAAAGAAAAGGAAGGGCATTTAAAAGATGCAGTACATTTACACTACAATTTCTATAGATCCTTAGTGGAGCGGTCTCTGAAATCTACAGAGCATTTAGAGTTAAGAAATCCATGCTTTGTTAAATCAGGAATGGTGATGACCATTCCTTTAAAAAAGGCCCTTTTCCCTGTCTGCACAGAAGACATATCTTTTATATTTCCTTTCACTGATCATACCTCCAGATATCCCAGGAATGATATACTGTTAAAATCTGTATAACTAACTTTCTCAGCCAAGTTATTCCAATCTTTTGAATGTAATCAGAATATGAAATTAGTAGTTAGTATGCAGGCTTCATTGGTCAGGAGGAATAATTTCCAAGTCAGGTGATTAATTGTGGCCATTGTTCCACAGAGAGGCATTTCAGAGTTTCTACTGGATCCTGTGTTTTGTGAAGCTTTGTTTTTTTCCAGATGCAGTCGGATCTTTGTGAAATGTGTGCTATGGAATTGATCTTTTGCTGAGTATATCTGTGTTAACATCTCTGAAATACTGGTGACAGACTTTTTTCTACCTCAATGAGAAAAAATTCTTTTTCGCTTTGTATGACCGGTTAAAAGAAGATGGATGCACAGAGTTCAGCCAAAGTCAACACAAGGAAGAGGAGGAAAGAGGTACCTGGACCCAATGGGGCAACAGAGGAAGATGGGATTCCTTCTAAAATGCCACGCTGTGCAGTTGTAAGTAAGGAAGAGATTTCTGTGTTGTGCATATAACCCAGGGGGAGGGTAGAAAACTGTTGCAGCATTACTTGTCTTCTTAAATAATGGAGGGAATGAATAGTAAGTGTGGTGGATAGTAAGTATTTTCACAGTTGTAAATCTTATGCTTTCTTACTAGATTATAACTCAGCTGTACATTGAAATTGGAAAACGAATGTGAGGAAAATTTGGAGATTGTGTTGTATATTAAGCTAAAGATCAAATTCAAACTAATAGAGAAATTGGGACTCTAGGCAGTGATCTGATCTTGGTATCATCTCATGGTGTTTAGTTTTCTGTGTCTTACTGTCTTTTCTTCCATATCACTTACCCCCCCATTACTGCTTATATCTTAGATGAGAACTTTTTTCTGTTACTGCTTACCTTATGATCCTTTATCTCTGGAACATTATCTTTGTATTTCTATTGCCAAGCCTTCAATGAAATACCCCATTCCAAATTGCTCATCCTGCCTCAGGTTTACATCCTTACTAAATCTTCCTCCCCCCAAAAACATGTCAAAGAACACACAATTGAAGTGATTGTTGATATACAATATTATGAAGTCAGTGTTTCAAAATCCCAGTGACAAAATTGCATGTTTCTATATTTTCTTAACCTGTGATGTCCATTAGTCAGAGATCAAACTGTACTTTCCGTTGGCTCGTTCTGAAGCCTCATAACCCAAATGGAAAAACATTTCTACTCTGACACAGTTAACAGTTGTTCCAAACCAATACTCTATCTTTGATGCGTGGGTCACCGGCCAGCAGTGATCATGGAATGCTGCGGATGGCTCATCGAGACTTGAGAAAAAACATGCACAGAGACAGACCAGTTTCTGTGGAGAAGTAGGGACGGAACGGCCACCCCCTCTAGTGGGGAGCACCTTGGCCACCCTGTCTCCTGGAGGGTGCCATGGCCACTCCTCACGTGGGGAGCGAGCACCTCGTTCCCCCTCTGGAGAGGCTTTTTATTGGTTTCGTTTGAATAAGAATTCAAGTAAAAGCTCATTACTCATTGCTAGGAAGTAAGGATCAAACAATAGATAACAAGGAAGTCTGAGGGCCTATTTTGAGTCAGGGTCAAACAGCTATAAGACTTTAAGTAACAAAGTAACTTCCTCCTTGGACCCTTCTCATTCAACTGAGAGCATTCTAAACAAAGCAGGTGTCACAGGATTTTACATATTCTTTCTTAGGCCTGATCACCTGAGGAATCCACCCTTTTCAGCACAGAGCTGCACCACCCTGTCATTGTTTCAGGCTTAGGTGGAGCAAGGGAAGTAAGGCAACTAAGAGATAAGGAGATTTTCTCCCAGACGATGAGGACTCAGGCTGTCAAAGCCGAGGAGCGAGTGTCCATCACTCCCTTTTGCTGTAGCCCCCAAAGTCCTTCTTTTGGGGGCCTCCCACGTGATCGTGCCTGTCTTAGATTGTTCCCCCCTTGGGGAATCTTACCCGTCATTGGCTAACCGACCAAGCTTTGGGGTTCAGTTATGAATGAAGCAGCAGAAGCAGTGCTCCTGTCAGGGAGATAAGCTTTTGTCTCCTTGCTGGCTTACTGTTCCAAGGGCGTTCCCTTAGCCTTAGCCTAGGCGGGGGTTTCAGCTTCTGATACCAGGCAGGGCGGTTCCCAACATATCTTGAGCAATAAAAGCAACTGGACTTCACAGATAGGAAGCATGTGTTCCAGGCCTGGTATTGATGACATTTGTGGGGCAAGTGTATTCCTTTCCTATTGCTGCTGTAACAAGTTACCACAAGTTCGGTGGAGTAAAACAATACAGATATATCTTTCAGTTCTGGAGGTCAGAAGACTGAAATGGGTCTTAGGGAGCTAAAGTCAAAGTGTTGGTTGGGCTGGAAGTTCCAGGGGAGAATCAGTTTCCTTGCCTTTCTAGCTTCTAAAGGCTGTCCACATTGCTCTGCTCTTGGTGCCAGCTAGCCAGCAATCCTGGCACCTTGACCACAACGTCTGTCACCACACCTCCTGATTCTGACTCTCCTTTCTCCCTTATTCACTTATCAAGACCCTTGTGATTACATTGGACATGCCAGGATAATCTCCCTGCCTCAAAGTCCTTTAATGTAATCATATCTTCAAGGCTTCTTTTGCCACAGAAAGCGTAGTCATATGTTATGGAGATTTAGGTGTAAATAGATACCATTATTCTGCATACAGCAGAAGTAAACTCAGAAAATGACTCAGCAGTCAACAAAACAGCACATTGTTAATTTCTGAATGTTTCTTAGACAGTTTAGGTTAAGGAGATGGTGGTAGACACCAATTCAACAACCTTACTTGGAGTATGAACAAATTATGACCAAGTAGGTGGTACTCTCAGCCAGTCGCCATAGCCAGTAATAGAGCAAAGAAGGCCCATCTTAGTGGAATGGACTCTGAGAAGACTTAAATTTTTGGTCCTTTGAATCTGAGGAATCTCAGCTCTTTAAATTACTTTACATCATATATTCATGTCACAAATCAGTTGAGTGGCTTTTGTTACCTATTCCACATTCTTCTCTGGCATATGCTGGCTATTTTGAATGGGCTAATGGTTAAAGATTCACTCACCCAACTGGCTAGACTGATCCTAATGAGGAGTATACATTAAATAAACTTGTTTGTCATCTCCATCATATACCTGTACTTTCTGTCTCGGAACCCCTTTCAATTTTGTAGCAAAAGCTAGCAAGATATTTTTTAAATAATAGCTTTATTGAGATCATATAATCCACTAATTTAAACTGTACAATTTAGTGGTTTTTAGTATATTCATAGAGTTGTGCAACCATCCCCACAACTAATTTTAGAATACTTTTATCACTACAAAAAGAAGCCCCATACACATTAGCAATCACTCCCTATTTCCTTCCAACCTCCCCAGCATCTAGAAACCACTATTCTACTTTCAGGCACTATAGATTTTTCTGTTCTGGTCATTACATACAAATGGCATCATACAATATGTGGTCTTTTGTGGCTAGCTTCTTTCACTGGGCATGTTTTCAAGATTCATTAGTGTTGTAGCATGTATCATTACTTGATTTGTATTTATTGGCTAATAGCATGCCATCAAATGTTATGTACCATTTTTTATTTATCCAGTCATTAGCTATCATTTGGATTGAGCAGACAAGATGTTATCACACATTTATAATGTGCCAGCGTGGCAGTAGGTAACTAGGAGTGTAAAGATAAGCAAGCTCTTCCCTCTGAGAGATGTGAGCAGAATGTAGAGTTCCAAGGCTCAGAGTTCATTAGCATTAGAAAAGTGCTTTCCTTGCAAGTGGGGAAAGGAATGGGAAGGATCACCAAGTATTAGATAGTTGGGTTGATGGTTCAGGATGACATGGATAGAAGAGAGGGCAAGAGCTGAGGAAAAATTAAGGGATAACTTTTATCACTAGTTTGTTTATAAATATAAAGAATTTACTGATACAGATATTTCTAAAGGTATAACCAAAAGGATCACAAAAATATTTACAAAGAATAAAACATTAGCTAATCTTAATATTTATCATATGTATGAATAAGTCACAAAGTACCTAAACTCTGGAGGAAATTGGCCACAATTCTGCTTATGGAGATCTCATAATCTCATTTCAGTCAACGTATATTGAGAACGTTTGTGTGTCAGTTGCTAGAATTACAGATACAAAAATGAAAAGATGACCTTGCCCTTAAGAAGTTCACAGAGAAATAGGGGATAGAGACATAATTAAGATACAGTATGAAAAAGGACAAATAGAAGGTTAGAGGAATTTTGACTGAGGGGTGTGGACAGCGGTTTTTGATAAGCTTCATTGAGGAGATTATTTCTGACTTGAACTTTGAAGGATAAGTAGGAATTCAAGAAATAGACAAGAGCTTTCCATACCTGTTGCCTCTCAGGTTGCACATATGAGGCCTTTCCACCACCTCTGAGATATGCTACTTTGCCTCCTACTTGCTGGCTGCCCTCTGGGACAATGCCTCCCCCAGCACCAAAGATATTCAAGAAAAACCTGAACAGTGTGGGCATAAAGAAAACAGCATAGGGAATATAGTCAATAATATTGTAATAACTATGTATTTTGCCAGGTGGGTACTGGAAATATTGTGGGGAACACTTTGTAAAATATATAATTACCTAACCACTATGCTGTACACCTGAAACTAATATAAAATAATATTGAATATAAACTATAATTGAAAAAGAAAATTATGAAATAAAAATATAGATAGATATCTAATTATTGATAGATAATATATTTATTGCCATTTTATTTTTCATATTTTGGTTTTTTTTTTTCCTTCTTCCTAAAGAAGACTCTTAAACATTTCTTGTAATATTGGTTTGGTGGTGATGAATTCCTTTAGCTTTTTCTTCTCTGGGAAGTGCTTTTTTTCTGTCCTTCAATTCTAAATGATAGGTTTTCTGGGTAATCTTGGTTGTAGGTTCTTGCTTTTTATCACTTTGAATATTTTGTGCCAGTCCCTTCTGGCTTGCAAAGTTTCTGTTGAGAAATCAGCTGACTGTCGTATGGGAGCTCCTTTCTAGCGAACTGCTTTCTCTTGCTGCTTTTAGGATTATTTGTCTTTAACCTTTGCCATTTTAATTATAATGTGTCTAGGTGTGGGCCTCTTTGGGTTCATCTTGTTTGGGAGTCTCTCTGCTTCCTGGACTTGTGTGTCTTTTTCCTTCACCAGGTTGAGGAAGTTTTCAGTCATTATTTCTTCAAATAGGCTCTTAATTCCTTGCTCTCTCTCTTTCTCCTCCATCTCGTATCCCTCCGATATAAATGTTGTTACACTTGATATTGTCCCAAAGGTCCCTTAATCTGTCCTTGTGTTTTTTGTTTTTTTTGGGGGGGGAGGATTCTTTTTTCTTTTTGCTGTTCTGATTGGGTGTTTTCTGCTTTGTTATCTACCAGATCCCTGATTTGATTCTTTGGTTCATCTAACCTGCTGTTGATTCCTTCTAGTGTAGTCTT